CCCTTCCAATCCCTGACATTCTGGGATTCTGTGACCTCTCTGGTGAACAGAAGTAAATGTTATGGCAGCTGGTAGCTTCTGGATGTGACAACAGGGACTCGGAAACCCAAACCAGACCCCTCTGCCAAGAGCTCCACTTTCCCCCCATACTGCTGGAGCTGCTCCGAGGTGGCCAACGCCCTGAGCGGAGCGAAACCACCTGCCCTTCTTTTTAAAAGGGAATCATCCTTAAACCACGATATTCCCTGGCTGAGCCTGGGCGTTTTTCACGCAGGTGCAAACCCGCAGCACGTTCACAACACAATTATCCACCAAGCCTGAGTTAATGCTACTGAAATGCAAACGCCAAGCGCCCACACAAACTCTTCCTTCTGCTCCTCAGCTCCAGGTGGTTTGGCTGCGATACAGCTCCCAAACCCACCTGCTGGTGCCAGGGCTCCCCCTGTGCCCAGGCAGTGGCTGGCCTTAGGAGACAGAGTACCCGGACTGGAATAATTAATTGAGCCCCTAAGTTCCTTCCAAAAGCACCTACATCAGACTCCCCACTTAATTAACGATCCACGGAGGAGAGTTTAAATGACTGACACATGTTACAAACAGTTCTTAAAAAAAAATAAAAATAAAAAAGGCTTTTGTTTATAAAAACTGCATCGCAGTGGCTGGCCTTAGGAGACAGAGTACCCGGACTGGAATAATTAATTGAGCCCCTAAGTTCCTTCCAAAAGCACCTACATCAGACTCACCACTTAATTAACGATCCACGGAGGAGAGTTTAAATGACTGACACATGTTACAAACAGTTCTTAAAAAAAAATAAAAATAAAAAAGGCTTTTGTTTATAAAAACTGCATCTACCCACAAACATTGAGCAACGAGTAAACGCTCAGGGCTTGTAAAAACCTCACCAACAGACAGAGGAGGTTGGAAGCAGCTCTTGGCAGAGCTGTCGTCCTGCCTCACGAGCGCAGAAACGAGGGTGAACTCACAGCTTAGGGTAATTTCGTCACCCACAGCCCCCAGCAGCAGCCCAGAACGCAGATTTCTGTATTTCATTTGTCATGCTGCTCAGGAACACTCTCCCAGGAGCTGTTCCAGCCCGGCTCTGAGCAATGGGCATCACTCTGACTCGTGTCTTCCACGCTGGTGGCAGCAAGGGCTGTTCCCTGCCATGGCTGCACTCGAGGCGCCAAACGCACCCGAACACAAAGAAAATCCTTTTCATACCAGTAACCAAGGAAGGGCCAAAATCTTGAGAGCTGAGCAATGGCTATTTGCTAATATAATTTCAGGACCGCCGTTCCCCACACCAGTATGCCTCCACTGACACACAGCCCGAGGTGCTGGCACTCTGGTTTCTGACCTACCCACCTCACTGGCAGCACATCATCTCTCCATCGGGGTCCACAAGGAAGAACCCTCCCCACACCAAAGCATCCAGTTCAAAACCAGAAGTGTGGCTAGAGGAGTTTCGGCAGGAGGCAGGGAAAGCAGAGCTCGCAAGGGGACTCTGGCAGCACGCTGTGACCAGATCGACCAGCAGGACTCACTCAGTGCTTTGCCAGGGTAAGACCTAAACCAGAGGGAAACCTCCTGGCCGAATAACCAGTATGAGCCAGGCAGCAAGCACCCAGCAGATGTTCTAAAAGATTAACTCACAAGTGAGGCTGGATATCAAGAGACAGACAAATCACAGAATCGTCTGGTTGGAAGAGACCCTCAAGATCATCGAGTCCAACCGTTCCCCCTGCACTGTCAGGGTCCCTAAACCATGTTGCTCAACACCAAATCCACACGGTTTTTAAACACCTCCAGGGATGGGGACTCCACCACCTCCCTGGGCAGCCTGTTCCAATACTTCACAACCCTCTCTGTAAAGAAATTTTTCCTGATATCCAACCTAAATTTCCCCTGGTGTAACTTGAGGCCATTCCCTCTCGTCCTGTCGTTCTTAACGTGAGAGAAGAGCCCGACCCCCATCTCCCTACAACTTCCTTCCAGGTAATTGTAGAGAGCGGATCTCTCTACAAAACCCCCTCCCTTCCACAAATGCATCCCATAGGCAGAAACCCACGGCAGCTGCGCAGGGGATTAGACAGAGACCTTCCCTGAGCCCCAATTCCCCTCTGAAATTCCCACTTGGGAGATGAAGTTTCTACCACGCGCCTCAAGAAGCAAGCAGATCCTCGATTTACCTCTGGAGTCCGACCAGCTTCCACTTCTGGAAGTCCACCACGTGCAGAGGGGAGGTGACCCAGTGCTTCACGGGCTTGGCGCCAGCACTGCAGCTCGGCACGAAGATGGAGAGCGCCGTCACGAGCTTCCTGACGATCGCCTCCTCCTCCCCCAGCACGACCAGCGTCCGCCCGCTGAGCAGGGAGAAGATGGCGGGGTGGGCGAAGGGGTACTGCCTGATGAAGCGCAGCGCGTTCTGGCCAGCCTTCTTCTTGTGCCTGTCGCCCGCCGGGCAGGTGGGGCGAGCCGGAGAGGGGGTCCTGTCGGAGCAGGTGGAGGCAGTGCTGCTGATGTGGCTCGTGGAGTCTGAGCACTCATCCAGGCTGCTCCTGCTGACCTCCCTGCTGCCCGCCAGGTAGCGCGAGTCAAGGTCATAGGGAAGGAGCCCCCCCGAGACGCTGCTGTGGGAGGGGGAGCCCCCGAAATTCCCGGACAGCCCCTCACGGCAGCTGCGCAGGTGATTAGACAGAGACCTCCCCTGAGCCCCAACTCCCCTCCGAAATTCCCACTTGGGAGATGAAGTTTTTATCACGCGCCTCGAGAAGCAAGCAGATCCT